AGTGGTAGTCGAAAATCCGTACTGCCCTCAATAGATATAAGTCGGAACGACTTCGCGTAAAGAATAAGTAAAAGATGAAAAGAAAGCATGATATGATATAATTTATTTGATTTTCTCTATTTTATGCATAACGTTATTATATGTTTAATATAATTGACTTGATGTTCATATATTCCTGAATAAAATAAAATATTTTCTTTATTATTGAAATGGACTCACATGCACAATCTTGGACGGTATGCGAATAAGGTATAATTTCTAAGTTTAATTACTTTTAAAATCTTGATAATGTTGACAAAATATTATTTTCTTTATTGAGTATATAGAACTCACCATTTTTCGTGCCCCTCCTCCCAGATGAGGACGATAGTGAGGAACCGCGCATTGACTTACCCATTGAAACCTTCAAGGATCTCATTGATCCATGAATGGTTACGAATACATGTTTAGTTTTGCACTTTGATGAGTCCACTTTTAGAGAGACTTGTTTTTATTTTGTTGCCTTTTTATTATTTGGAACTTTATCTTATTTTGTAATGAATTGTAATGTATTTTATTCTGCTGCATATAATTAATTGAAATATACTCTTATTTGTTTCTGTATCTGGCACCCTTATACTTCAATTATTATTTGGGATGTCACAGTCCAAGTCTCTAGTACAATCACTATATGAAAGTTCAATTAAATCTGATTTTTCTTCCTTCTTGTAAAACAATCCAATATCACCAGCATCTTTCAAGTATCAAATGATCTTTTTTTACAGCATGAAGATGTGATTATTTTGGACTCTCCATATATTTGCTAATAAAACTTGCAAAATGCCATTAATCTTCTTTCCTTTTAGATCTTTTGTAAACTTTAACCCAACATTTAATAGTATAGTAACAAGATTTTAATTGCTCATTTGAAATATTTCTAAACTTTCTTTTACATATTTCCTTTGAGATACAAATATTCCACCAGTAAATTGCATTATTTCTATGTTAAGAATATAATACAACATTTCTAGATCAATCATATCAAACTCAAGCATATGATCTTTTTAAATTCTCAAGCATAAGTTTATTATTTCTCGTATAAATCAAGCCATCTACATATAAAATGCGATCAACATTTTCCTTCCATCTTCACATTTTATGTAAAATGTATGTTCATATAGACATTTTTGAAAACTTTCATTACAAAAATAAACATCTATGCGATTATACCAAGCTCTAAGTGCTTGTTAAAGTCCATAAAGAGCCTTTTTCAATATGTGAACTTTATATTCTTCACCAACTTTTACATAGTCAGGAGGTTGTTCAATACATATGTGTTCTTGTGAATCTTCATGTAAGAATGTTGATTTGACATCCAATTGAAAAATAGGTCAAATATTTTATATTGCCAATACAATACCAACCTTTATTATATCATGTCTAACAAATGGTGCACAAACTTCTATATAGTCGATTTCATATTCTTGTTTGTATCCCTTAGTCATCAACTACACCTTATACTTATCTATTTCTCCATTTTCTCTTACACTATCTAGAATTTATTTTTTAATGGCATTTTTGTTCCATGACCAAAACTGATTTTCATAAAAAACAATATCTTATTTTATCTAAATTTTCTTTGTGTTAGGATTATGGAGCTTATAAACTTTTAATGGATCACTAACATCAAGCAAAATACATTTCTCTTCCTTGTCGTTTAGCTTTTTCCTCTTTTGATTAGAAATATTGACATATGTTACACACCCGAAAACTCTAAAATGATATACAACCAGGCGTTATCTACTCCATGCTTCCTCCCTAGTCATGTTTTGAACTATAAATATGGGACTTTTATTCACAATGTGACATACTCTAATTGATTGTTTCACGCAAAAAAAAATCTTTAAAGTACCACAACTTCTCAACAAACTCCAGAAAATAGTACAATTTTTGCTCTTACAGACTCTATTTTGTTGGGGTGAGTAGATTGATATAAGTTACCTTTTGTTCCATGAAGCTCATAAAGATTTATAAATTCTTATGGGTTATATTTTCCTCTACAATCCGAACGGAAAGCTTTTATTGAATTGTTAATCTCTTTTCCAAATGTGTACTTTAAAACTTTTAAAAGATTCAAAGGCATTAGATTTCTCCTACAAGAAATACACTTAGAATTTTTTAGTATAATTATCAATAAAGATATTTTATAGCTTTTCCTCTATGATTTTCCATATAGAAATGAGTTGGGATGTTATTTGCTAATGACACATTCTTCACATACTTGTGAAGAAAGTGAAATTTGAGAAAGACCCATTACCATATTCTTTTGTTGTAGAGTTTCTAATCCATCAAAATTAAGATGCCAATAACAAAATTGTCACATTTAAACTTCATCTTTTTGTTTTAATGAGAAAAATGATTATTGTATTATTGAGATAAAAGAGGGAACATTTCTATTAGTAGTCATTTTAACTTGAGTAATTAAGCTCAAATTATTGTCTTGAATCGGACATACTTTGTTTTTAATAAGAATCTCATGTCTCTTCTCTTATAATTGACTAAGACTTAAAAGATTGGTCTTCATATATATAATATAAATGACATTCGAAATTATTTAAGCAACATCTTTCTTAGTTTGAATAATGACATATTTTTTCTATGTTGTCGTGATCTTTTCCTCGTCTTCAAGTATGAGAACATTAATTATCTTCATATTCTTATGTGAGTGTCTAGTATCACTATTGATTCTATCCCTTCCTCTATGTTAACCATCTCTTTTTAGTGTCGCAGACAGATTATTATATAAGACTTATAGAGTATGCTCTTCTTTACTCTGTCGCATAAATTACCAAAGAATTCAATTCTGCAATTGAAAGTTCATCCGTGTCTTCAGATTCTTTAATAAAATAAATAACTTCATTGAATTTTATTGTCATAAAAAAAAGTATCTTCAACAATAGTAACATCTTCCAATTTTTCGACATGAACTTGCACTTTATTTACAATTGTCATAACCCTTGAAAAATAATTTGAAGAGTTTGAAGTCTTATTGCTTTGTGTAAAGTCTCGAAATAAGCATGAAGAGTTTGAAGTTATGTTTGTTTTACTTTTGTTCTCTCCTGATACTTTCTCTTCATTGAGTTCCAAATTTGCTTTAAAGTATTTTTGCAGAGAATTGTTTTCCAAAATTGAGTAATTAATAACCTACAAAGATATGCTTTAAGATCTTTAACTTCTATGCTTCAACTTTCATTTTCTAGGCTTCCATCATTATAATACATGATGATTTTATTACTCTAGAAACAACCACAGTCCAATACTCTTTGGATCTCATAAAATTCTCATTCAACATACTCCAATAATCATAATGACTATTGAAACGTGAAATTGTTAGTTGAACAGTTTTTACTTTTGAGAGCCTCTAATACCAAAGGTGAAATTAAAAAAATGGAACAAAAATAAGAATAAACTCAGAGAAGATGAGAAAAAAAATAAATACCGATCTATATTTTCTAATATGAATTTTTAATTAACAGATCATTGTTTGAATAGATAAATTATAAAAAAATTAGGTCCAATACTTATTGTTATCGTTGATGATAGGTACAATCGTTATATATGAGGTTCATCACTTATCATTTTCTTAAATTATAAATAAAATTTTTATAGATAAGGTTCATCACTTATTAAATTCCTAAATAATAAATAATTTAAATAAACTAATAATCTTAAGAAAAGATAAATATTAAATTTATCTAATAATTTTCAGTAACAAAGAAAATGAATGAAAGAGAGAGAGAGCTCCAGTTTAAGGAAAAAAAAAAGAGAAAGAAAAAGCTTTTCTAGAGCATTTTAACTGAAGATGGAGGGGATTTTTTATTGGGGAAAAGCTTGTAAGGGAAATAATGGGGTGAGAACTGGGAGAGATCTTTGAAAAGTGAAAATCGAGCTATCATGTGCTAAGTAGTCACAATTAGAGGGACTTGAATGCTCTTCTGCATGCTGCTTTAAAAGCCAATAGGTGAAGAAATTGGAGTTAGGTATTGTTACTCTTTGGATTAATGAGTTTTGTGATTCTGTTTGGACGTGCATGATGCACATCTATTGAAAGCAATATGGAAAGGGTGTGCATGTTGCGTTCTTTTTTTTTTTTTTTTTTCTTTTAAATGGAGAATTGTTGATTAAATCAGGCAATTAGTTCATCACGGGTATATGCTTTTGCCTTGAATCAATATAGGTGCTTTCATTGTTATTCACATTAAATGCATATTTGGTTGTAGTTTGGCTCAAATAATTTATTATGTTCTGGAGTAGGTCTAATTAATTTATATTTTCAGAGTTAAATATAAAATTAGGAATAATTCTTGCAGTTAGTTGTGGTTAATTTCTAGTTTAAAACTTTAACCTAGGCTGTACAGGAATTAGTCGATTTCCTGCTTCTTTGGGTCCATGTATTGTCTATCTTTCCTCAGTCATCAGCTGAGAGGAGACAACTAAGCAATTAAGCTGAGTTGTTTTAATATAGAAGGGATTAGAGATAATAAAAAAAGAGAGAAGGAAAGATTAAAAATCCAAAAAAGGAATATGTCAAAAGGATGGATTGGAAATTACAATTATAGGAAGATAAACCGATAAGTCTCCCGACTGGGTCTCAACTATTGGTAAAGCAGTCATACTTTATAGGAATATAAACCGACAAGTCTCCCGATTGGGTCTCAACTATTGGTAATGCAGTCATACTTCCTTCACCTAAATGCGAGCTTAATTTAGCTGATTCTCAGTAACGAATTAAAAAAATAAAAAACTCTTAAATAAGTTTCACGACCAGGCAGTTTTTGTAATAGAAGAGACATTTGACGATAAACACGCACTTGTTTGGAAGAATCATCATAAATGATTTAAGTATATTGCTTACGATATATTAAAAAATCCATTCAAAGCTGCTACTGTATAAGGTATTGACATAACAGTATCCTCTCCTGAACCACAAACTAAAAGCCAACATATTAAAACAAGAATCAGAATACCAATATGAGAATTTCAGGGCTTCTTTTAGATTTCCATTAAGGTACATGTACATCCTTACAGGTCACTTTCGACATAAAATACAGCCGACCATCTAGAACTTTTTTATGATCACATATCCCTGATTTCTCTGTCATTTCCCTTTAAAGTGCAGAGAAAACTTCTTCGTCCACTATTTTAACAAAACTATTTAAATACAAGCTATTCAAATTACAGTGGACATCAACCAATCTTAATCTTTCGGATGTCACCACAACACATACAACCTATGTGTTGAACACCCACATAGAACTGATTTCCCAGAAGAAGGTTAAACACAAACTTCAGAGGGACCAAACCCACAAAGGGAACTAAAGAGGGGTGACACCTTTTAGGATTAGAGCTTTGGAGGTCATACGAAACCTATGCTTCAACTGCAGCAATTGTTTCTTCGTCAGTACTATCAGATGAAACAATTGTTTCTGCAAGGATTTCATCCGTAACTTGTGTCTTTGATTCCTTCTGCATCTCAGGATCAAGAATCTTCTCCCTAAGTTTAGCCATGAGCTCCTCTCGCACACTATCATTCTGAGCCAGGAACTGTCTTAAACTCTCTCTTCCATGGAAGTTCTGATCATTGAAACCATAGAAGGATCCAGCCCTTGATATGAACTTGTGCTTTAATCCTAAATCTATTATTTCTGATGCTTTGCAAATTCCCTTGCCAAACTGAAGATCAAATTGAGCAGTTTTAAATGGAGGTGCAAGCTTGTTCTTGACAACTTTCACAGAAACTTGACTTCCAGTAGTCTGCATGATTTACAAGCATTGAAGAGACAAAACGACATCAAGAGAATGCAACTTAACGAGGAATAGTATCAGTTTTTTAATTTAAAAACACGTCTTTATTTTAAAAGAGAAATACATTTCACATAAATTGTATACATAACCTCTGTCTATTTGGTGCTAAAATATTTTAATAAATATACATCTTTTGTTCAATACCACAGCCTGCACCTGGAACCCCTTACAACTATACCTCTCATAATTCATCCCTCATTTTGAAGTATAACCCTAAAATTTCTAGAAAACAAAAACTGATACTAAAACTGATACTAGCATTGGTTGTATCTACAAACTACTATCAAAAGTCTTGGCCAAAAGATTGTCCAAAGTGCTGCATCACTTATAGGTAAAAGCCAACATGCCTTTGTTACCAGTAGACATATCTCCGATGCCATCTTGATAGTTAATGAAACCGTAGATGAAGTTATCAGACAAAACAAGAATGACATTTTTATGCAAACTAGACTGGAGAAAGCTTTCGACCATATCAATTGGGATTTATTGATTATATGCCCAAAGATTCGGTTTTGGCTCTAAATGGAGAGATTGGATCAGATGTTGTATTATTACCTCTACCAGTTTTGCACGCATTGTCAATGGTGGGCCATCCTCCTTTTTCACTGCTACCAAAGGTTTGAGGCAAGGGGATCCCCTTTCTCCCCTTCTTTTCATCATTGTGATGGAGGCATTGAACAAACTTATGGAAAGACCCAAGGATCTGAAAATGTGTTGGGTATTATGGTAGGAAACATGAGTAATAAGATCGAGATCTCACACATTTTCTTCACAGATGACATGCTCATATTTTATCAACCTGAAATATCTTCCCTAGTATTTTTGAGATGCATTTTACTATGTTTTTAAGCTGCCTCTGGGTTGAAAATTAGTCTTCATAAATCTGAGTTTGTTGAGCTGGGAAATGGTACCAATGGCGACTCTCTTAAGCATGTATTGGGCTGCAAAATATCCCAACTGCCCATCACTTACCTGGGTGTCCCGCTGGGCGCCAAACACAATGATTGCAAAAACTGGGATTCTCCGGTGGATTTATTCCATAGAAGATGGGCTACTTGGAAGAAAAAATTTCTCTCAAAGGGGGGAAGATTAGCCCTTATCAAAAGCACGCTTTCCAACCTTCTCATATACTACCTATCCGTGCTCAAGATTCCTTCCAAGGTGGCAAAAAAGCTTGGAGAGATACAATGCAATTTCTTGTGGAGGGGTGGTGAAAATAATAAGAAATTTCATCTTGTTAGTTGGACAGATGTTAAACAGCCCTTCAAAGATGGAGGCTTGGAGATTAGATCTCTTCTTAATTTAAACAAAGCTCTGATGGGAAAATGGATTTGGAGATTCTGACAAGAAGATAACAGCTTATGGAAACAAATCATTGACTGTAAATGGTTTAACGGCAACCCTCATGATATTACAAGCATAATGAAGAGCAAATATGGCCCAAGCCTTTGGAAGAATATTATAAAGCTCAACTCTACCATCTTAAATTGTTCTAAATGGATTGTTGGGAATGGTAAAAGGGTTAGGTTCTGGAAGGATATCTGGTGCGATTCTGCAAGTTTTAAGGACAGATTTCCTCTTATTTTCGCCATTGCTAAAAATAAAGATTCCTCTGTTTTTGAAGCTACTGAAAACAACTTGGGCACTTGGAATATTGTGGTCAATAGAAATCTCCAAGATTGGGAAATTGATGAGTATGAGATGATGCATCTTACCCTGGCCACCATTCAGCTCAATAACCTGAATGATAAACTCAGCTGAAACCTCAAAAAAGATGGCCATTTCACCGTCAACTCCCCCTACAATATGCTGGATGATCACTCTACTGACAGGCAGAAAAATTTCCCCTCAAAATTTATTTGGAAATCTGGTGCTCCCCCGAGAATCTCTTCTTTTGCTTGGGAGGCTGCCAAGGAAAGGATACTCACCCTGGACAACCTGATGAAATGTGGTATTACTACTGTAAACAAAGTTATCTCTGCAAAAATTGTTTGGAATCCTGTAATCATCTGCTACTCAGATGCTCTACTTCACGACAGCTTTGGTCCATAGTTCTTGGCCTTTTGAGCACCTCCTGGGTTATGGCTGAGACAATCTCTACTGAATTACTGGCCTGGGAGGGTTTTAGCAGAAGAAATAAAATGCTAAGACTTATTCCAATCACCATTTTTATGGTTATTTGGAAAGAAGAAACAATCGTGCTTTTGAGGGAAAAGAACTTGACTTCAACACTATCAAGGATAATTGGTTTCACGACAGCTTTGGTCCATAGTTCTTGGCCTTTTGGGCACCTCCTGGGTTATGGCTGAGACAATCTCTACTGAATTACTGGCCTGGGAGGGTTTTAGCAGAAGAAATAAAATGCTAAGACTTATTCCAATCACCATTTTTATGGTTATTTGGAAAGAAGAAACAATCGTGCTTTTGAGGGAAAAGAACTTGACTTCAACACTATCAAGGATAATTGGTTTCACGACAGCTTTGGTCCATAGTTCTTGGCCTTTTGGGCACCTCCTGGGTTATGGCTGAGACAATCTCCACTGAATTACTGGCCTGGGAGGGTTTTAGCAGAAGAAATAAAATGCTAAGACTTATTCCAATCACCATTTTTATGGTTATTTGGAAAGAAGAAACAATCGTGCTTTTGAGGGAAAAGAACTTGACTTCAACACTATCAAGGATAATTGGTTTCATTATTTTGGCTCTACTATTTTAGGGCATAACCTTGATTGTACTGAGGATTTTGGTCTCATTGTAGATATTCTAACTGATTTGTAAATTTTGTACATGGGCAATGCCCTCTTAGGCATCTACATCAATCT